TTACAAATACCGGAGTTATCGCGTAACATACATACAAAAAAAAAAACATACAGTCGAATTGAGAACCTCCTTCTTTTTTGAAGTCGGTTAAAAATAAAGAACGTAAAAATAACGAACTCAGAGAAAAAGAAATATTTTCACACCTCGAAAGGTATTTGTGAAATTTCAAATGAAGTAAATGATGCAGGTCAGTTCACTTGCTTATTGCACGGAAGCTGTATAAATGCAGGGTATTGCCGAACGTTATTATATATTCATAGAAAACGCTAGCTCGGGAAACTTGTTATATGTATATCCTATGCCTTGGAGGCACATGTCGTATTTCTGTTATACATTCATTGCATGTCGCGTAATAATATACCTCATATTATTTAAGCAAAAACTTCAAAACAATGGTTTAAAATATGCTTGTGATGCTTGCAGGTTTAATCCTAAAGATATGGAAACATCTGAATATAAATTCTAATTTAGTTACGTAAGCTTGTTTTCTTATTGCCTTTTAGAAAGTCTGTTATTATTACCACGCTCCATTTTCGCTCAATTAATCATAATCACTTTTTCCAATATTCATATTTATGGCTACACTCCTAAAATAACTCCAGATTAAGTAAATAAATACCCGATTGAGTACCCAATTTTTTAGTCTATCACTTAATCACACAAAATAAAAGTACAAGCAAGAATAAAAATTGATGAGGTGTAAATTCAGAACGCATCCGAAGATAAACTTTTTCTTTTAATTTAAAAAACTGATGTTTTATAAGTTCAACAGTTTTTCTTTCATCCACCATTTTCCTGTCTATAGTGAGGTGAAAAGTTGTGTGTTTCGTTCGGCAGCAAAATTGTTTTGCGTCTCGTGCCTTGAAACCCTCGCTACGCTCAGGAATCTATTTTTGAACCAAACGCTTCGCCCGTGGTTTTAATCTTAGCTTCCTTAGTTTTCTCAGGTTTCAATACAAGCAGTCGCGTCAAACAACAACTTTGCAGCCTTGCATAACAAATAACTATTTTATTGGCTCCATCAAAACTATGGGGTTCAGTTCAGTATCTTCAACATTTGACAATTTTTTAGAATATAATTTTTCAAAATGGAAATATTTTCCATGACCCAAAACTATTTGAGATCAGACAATTTTTGTGATTGTCTAACATATTACTATTAACTTAAAAAACTTGTTTCAAGACATAATATGTTTACCCGGCGCCAATGACGTGAAAATAATTACGCCGACGGTGACGTTGGGTCATCGTGACCCGAATTTCATTGATAATTTTTTGTAAAATTAAAGTAGTTGTCTAAATTTTTATAAATACGTATTAAGTAAGGGTCGTCAAGACATATACTGAAATAAAAATAATAACAATAAATTGTATAAATAAATATTTAATTAGCGTTCTCAATAACACGTGCAAAATCAACACTGAAAACATAATTTTGATATTTCTTTTATTTTTAGTAAAATATTCTGAATAATAATAGCAATTAATAGTCTTATATACTAAAAGAAAGGTCACTCAAACTTATTATTAGAAATTAGTCTTCTACGTCCTCAATCAGAGACGTGCAACTGCTGCAACTATTGCAGTACCTTCCCGTATGATCCGGGTATATAGATAGTATATATAAATCTAGCATGCATTACATGTATGAGATGTTTTTTTATCCTTTTTGAACGGACATACTTGACATCTCTCGCATGTGCCAGAGGTTGGTATGTATTGCGTAAATTTGCATCGTCCTTTGAATACCACCAACATTTCATCAATAGTGCAGTTTTCGCCCGCAGGATACATTTTTGGCATTGTTCAACAAATGCTTTGCAAAGTTCACGTATTGGTGCCAAATGATTAAATTGATGTCTGTCAGCATGCAACAAGCAGCAGGAATAAGATTAATTAATTATAAACAGTAAATAAACCAATAATGTCAGTCACAAAAATACCACGCCAGCGATGACGCTGGGTCATATTGACCCGTTTTGACTTAATGCACGTATTACTTGGCTGTGCAGATGGCTTCACATTTAGTACACCAGCGAGTCGGGTAGAGGAGGGTTGTATCTCCAGCTACTCAAACGTTGAAATCGTGCAATTGGCGTAAAACAAAAATATGCCCGTTGTAAATCGCCTCGGGTCAATATGACCCAACGTCATTGGCGCCGGGTTAAGTTTAGAAATTAAAAAAAGAAGAATTTTGTATTATAACTTTTATTCCTATGAGTACAATATAAATCCTTAAAATGATTAAATTGGTATTTAAAACGGTATTAAGAAAAGGAACTTACAACAAATCTTTCAAATTTTAGTAGACATTGTCGCTCCATCATTGATATGCAACTGAGCATGTTCTATGTTATGGTATACTCTATATATGGGTTTCTCGCCCCAACTCCGGCCATACCCCAACCAGTCTGACTGGCGTCTGTATAATAAATTAGGAAATAAAAACGAGACGAACCACCCACAGTCCGAACTCTCATTTTATTATACACTGGATGACTCCCTAACGCCACTCAGACATGACCAAGTTCTCGAATATTCTGGAATAATTGCTTTGGTTTTATATGAAGCGATCATGTCCAGAATTAGATAAAAAATATTGTTATCGGGTTCAAAATAACAGTCAAAATGTTTCAGAACAAAACTATTTTTCCATAATAGAATTTCAATAAACTTACTTGTTCTTAAGTTTATTGAATGTTATAATGTTTCATCACCATGATATTCAATTTTTTGTGAAATTACTCCACTAATTTTTGCTATAATTATTAATACAAATATCGAACACATTAGAAACAATTCCTTCGATTCGGCTGGATTCGACCCAGCGTCTTCTAGCAAACGCTATGCCAACTAAACCACGAAACGAATCTGCGGACCTTACGAATTTTTGTGTATGCTTGGGGCAGATCTTTCTTTTTGGTTTTTAACAACTTTTTTGCCGTAGCGCCATCTGTGCGAAACTTACTTCTCCACTCAGCCAGGTAGCTGACTAGAGATGTCGTTGTAATAATTGTAATTAAGTTTATTGAATGTCAGGATATTTCTCCACCACGATATTCAAAACTTTTTGTGAAATTACTCTACTAGTTTTTGTTATAATTACTAAATAAGAACAAGTGTGCGTCCTTACCCGCCGCACGGTGGTTGCGCGAACGTACAAGCCGCACTGTTATTTTGTACAGAGTTACCCTATTTATTTATTCCACTATGGTTTTCCGGGCTTACCCGGACAAGTGTCTGACCTAAGGGTTATAGTGAAATTACAGACACATGGGACTTGTCAACTTATGTCTGAGGGCAACGAGAGTACTGCCCCTAAGTGGCGCTGCAACTGCTATGAACAGGCGTGTCGCTCACCTGGTGGTGCTCAACTTGTTCGTCGCGTCACTTGGTATCAAAAAAAAATTATTTACTTATTATTTTTAAACTTAACTACATTACGTTCGCAACGTATAAAATATGTTAAAATAAAATAAGAAGTTTTCGGGAATAAATACTCTTCCTTCTATCCATATCCCGATCGTTAACTTCTTATTGAAAATCCTCTGTTTACCAGAATATGATTTCGCAATAAGCAATAAAACAGATACACCTACTACTGCTTTCATCCAGAAGTACGAAGTCAATATAAATAAAACCAATTTAGTATAAATGCTTCTGTATAATTATGTTCTTCATTCTACGGTGAAGTGTGTAGACTGCCAGAAAATAGCTTGAACCAACAAACTAGAGCTCCAAATCTATCTCGTCATTACGAAGACAGAAATAATTTGCATTGAACGCCTTCAATATTCAGCATTACTTGATTCAGTTTGCTTCTCGAAGCGTCACTAATGCAAAACGCTTTTATAACTTTGAATACCAGTTGGAATGTTTGACAGAATTTTGCACAATAGAGGTTGATTGGGCTGTAGATTTGTTTGCTGATAATTTGTAAAGTATATGAAATAGGAGGTAGGGGTTAAATTATAAAATTGCTGATCTATATAGAAGAATTAAAAACCAAAAATAAAGATCTGTAACAAGCTCATAGATAAATTCGTAAGGTCTGCTGACTCGTTCCATAGCTGAGTTGGGAGAGCGATAGCCCCGGTGTGGCGAGGTCGCTGGTCCGAGCCCAGCAGGATCGAAGGAATTTTTATTTGTATAAATTATTATAACAAACTAGTCGAGTAATTTCACAAAAATAATTGAATATCGTGGTGGTCAAACATCGTGACATTCAAATAAACTTAAAAATTACTAATGAAATTAATGAAGAAATATAATATAATGTGGCCACATTTGATTTCACAGCGAATGTAAAATTTATTGAAACAAAAACAAATGAACAACGAATTTTCAAAATAAAAAAAAACAAGTTTTAAAATTTAATTAAAAAAAAATTAAAGAGTATTAAAATTTTTTAATTTTATTAAAAATTATTATTTATTTTAAGTAACTATAACTTTAGAAAAGCAATTTCACACTTGAACCATTGAACTCGTAATATCTACTTAATGGAAATTTATTTAATATTTAATAATATTTCCTGGCAGATTATGTGTTTTGGTATCCGTGTAAATTCCTGTAATGGTAAATATTACGGTCCGTAGCCCGGTGTCATTCATCGTTTACTTTATGTCATTAACGCAAAGCATAAGATGTCATAAAAAGTACTTCTTGCGGCTACTTGCCATACCCTAAAATTGATAATTAACACAGAATAAGCAAAAAACAAAACCAGTCTTCAGACTAAACACCGATTGATTGACAGGGATAAAAAAGAAACTCCAAAAGTAGACATGCCATTCAAACCACATGTTAGCCCAAAACAATTAAAAAAAAACCTCTCGACTCACGTTCTTACCACTTGAGACTAAAAATACCGCTCTTAAAGTCTATAATTAACAATTGACATCCCTCTTCAGTCCCCCTAATGAGAGAGAAGAGCCACTTTACAAAAGTTTTAAACTAAAATGAGTTTTACGTTGTTTTAATTAGAGTTTTGATTGCAGTGCCAAGGACAGTGCTGAAGGAGCGGTATGAGAGTGCACCTGAAGAAGACGAGGTTGCTCATGACGCGTCGGATCTTGAACACGACGAAGTTGGTGAGTACCTTTTTCGGGGTTCTGTTTGAAATATTTCAGGTATAATTATATAGTAAAAGTCGTTTGTGAGTATATAAAGTATCGACTTTCACTTTTAGTTTTTTACAAAAGTAACGTGTTTAAATTTGAGCTAATTCATTAGTGCAAACGTTAGTGTATATCGAGTTCTTAGGTTTTCGCGATTGCTAATCCATTGGGATTGTATTTTATTAGGATCTAAATCGCGTATATTTGTTTTTTCGAACAAATCATCGTTTCGGGCTCTTTACAAATATGTGGTCAAGACTGACGAGTAAAGATTTTTTTATGGCCCCAAATTTAGTGACGGGATGATCAAGTTGTGCGCCTGATAGTAAGCGACACGCCTGTCCATAACAGCTGCAGTGCCACTCAGAGGCACAAAAATCTAAGGGACTGCCACTGCGCCCGTCACCTTGAGACATAAGTTAACCAGTACCAAGTGCCTGTAATTTCACCAGCACACTAATTTCACTTATTACTGAAAACCGAAACGCAGTAATGGTTTACATTACTGCTTGGTAGCAGAAATAGGTAAGGTGCCAGTACTTCCCTGGACTAACTCTTTCACAAGGAGCTACTGCTACTAAAATATTTTCATTAACGACGTTAGTTTAATTAATTCGACCAGTGAATTCGAAAAAAATTACAAGACTTATTAAATTATAAATGTATTTGGTATTTTGAAAAAACAATGCTCATTGAGCAATACACTGTATTGCTTGTATGTAATGAGCTTAGATTCATAAGTAAACTAAACAAGAATCTTTTTTATAACTATTCTCCTACAATTTTTTAATAATATTTTATAAAGCAAGATATTTACTAAGAGTACTAAAAGCTGAGAAACGAGTTTATGAAATATTTTTCTAAATGCGAACGGACGGTATTTCGAAAGGAGAGTTATAAAGTGAACATTTTCCTCTTTGTATAAATATTTAACTAAAAGAAATAATTCATTAAACACTGAAACATCGTACCACGTCACAAACAGTATGCGTAAAAATCCAATGATCTTGTATATGTAATTGATGAAAATTTATTTCTCAAACTCGTATCTTATAAAGAGTATTATTCTGGAGATGGCAAAATTTTCTATTTATTTTAAATTTCTTATCAAGGGTGATAATTTGGATGCGTTACTTTAAGAATAGGTAAAAGCCAGTGTGTGAATATGAAGGAAATGTAATGTGATATCAGTAACTTTTTTGCAATGCCGCCGTGGCGGCAACGGTACTGTCTGCTAATACAGGTTAAATCCTTTTGTGGGGTGTGGATGTTGCCTGGCTGGTTGGCAATCAATCAATAACTAATAATTACTGTATTATTTCTATACTATTTGTAATGGCTATCAATAAAGTTATTATTATTATTTCAGTAACTGTGATATGAGGTACAGAAAGTAAGGTGACGAAATGGATTAAGTTACTTGCATATAGAAACTTTAGTATCAGTAGAGCTACCTCTGAAAGAGTTTGTATAGGGAAGTACGGCCACCTTAACTATTTCTGCCATCAAGCAGTAATGTAAGCGTTTCAATTTTGAAGGGTAAATGAGCAGCTGGTGAAATTACAGGCACAGGAGAATTTTCAACTCACGTCTTAGGGTGACGGGAGAACTAGCAGTACCTTTTAGATCTTTGCGATTTAAAGCTCTGAGCGACACTGCAATTGTTATGGACAGGCTTGTAGCTTACCATCAGGCGCACGACTTGTTATGTTTAGTGACGTTTATTCATAAGGCGATCTTTATATAGGTAGATCTTTTTATTATTTTTTTTATAACATCAAGTGACGGGACGAAAAAGTCGTGCGCCTGGTGGTAAGCAACAACGCCTGTTCATAACAGTGAACGTGATCTACAATTGTCAGTAATATAATGAGGAATTGCCTGTCAGGAGAGGTTTATAAGGTAAATAAATTTCTCCATAAGTACTAAAACATTGATAACGCAGTGCAAGTGATATACTATTCAGTAATACAGCGAACAGCAACACGTCGACACAACTCATAAAAACACTACACAGTGATTGTGCTCACTTTACTGCGGCTAGAACACCTTTACAGCGAGCTATAAAGCCCGACCTACGAACCGACAGATTACTTTTCGTAACATCATCGACTTTATAGTTTCTCCCTTGCAAGAGTTTATTGCCTGTTGAGATTGTGCGAGACTTAAGTTATTTAATCTTGGTGTCAAAATAGTAAAGTAGATATTTATTATTTTATTTTATTGAATACCATGATGTTTTACTACAGGAATAAAACAAAAAAAAGGAAAAAAGGTTCTTAGGTTGTCAATTCGACTGCATTTTTATTTTTTGTATGTGTGTTACGCAATGACTCCGGCATTTGTGAACCGATTTTGATGATTCTTTTTTTGTTGGAAAAAAGGACCTCAGTATTGGTCACATTTAAATTTGAAGAAAATACTCCATCACTAAGGGCGGCAAACTAGGGGCTAAATCCGGTTTCGCACACTTTCAGGTAACCGATTTCAATAAAACTTGGCAAATAGATGTAATTCCACGAACCGACCACATAATGGTCGGTTTTTTTAGTACTTTGTACTAAGATTGTTGTGAAAATACTACGCTAGTTAGGTGTTATTATTGATATAAAGATTGAACAAACACAAACATCAATCAAAAACATCCTTTGATCTGGCTAGATTCGAATCATGGGGTTTATTCTTGTTCTTCATCCGACATCCTTTCGAATTAATTACTGTTAAATAATCTCAGTAAAGAGTACTAAAAAAACTGACCTCAAAAGTACGTGGAATAACATCTATTTGCCAAGTTTTATTGAAATATCCCGTAGTTCGCCACTATACAGGACTTGACATAAAAATAATAATAATCGATTCTCACTACTCGAAGTATGTTGAGAGAGAAAATAGAGACAGCAAAACCAACCACTAAAATAATTGCTCCTTAAGTAAAATTTGGGCTCTATTTATAAAAGATGAATGTTCATGCGTGAGCAGCCACCCTTAGAGGTGGATGATTTTCTTCAGAACGAAATGAGAGCACTATGGAGGTACCCTCTTTCCAACAAAAAAAGAATCATGAAAATCGATTCACAAATACCGGAGTTATCGCGTAACATACATACAAAAAAAACTTACAGTCGAATTGAGAACCTCCTATTTTGAAGTCGATTAATAAGTATCTACTACTCGACCAAATCATACTTGATATTGTTTTTTCATTTAGTCGAGTATTACTTGTATGACAGTAATTGTTTCGGGCGGATGTCGGGTGGAGAACGGAAATAAACCTCTAGCACCTGTTGTCCAGACCGGGGCTAACCGCTCTTCCTACTAAGCTACGGAACGAATCAGCAAACGAATTTCGGCATTTGCTCATTGCGAATCTTTGTTTTTGATTTAAACGTGAATTCACTTTTAAATAAACATTTTTACAACACCGGTTCTCGTGAAAGAGTTCGTCCAGGGAAGTACTGCCACCTTACCTATTTCTGCCGCCAAGCAGTAATGTGAGCCTTCACTTGGTATCATAAAAAAAAAACCACAAATTGTTTTCCGTCTTATTTCAGAAATGTCTATGTATGACTCATATGATTTTTACTTACAAAGACCTAATTTAATTTGATTAGAAAACGAGATTAATAAAACATTTATGAGTAAAAAGCTTCCATCTTCGTTAAAGACATACGCTTAATTTTTGCAAAGTAAACATCCCAATAGAATATAACGACGTTTTTATAAAAAAAAAAGATAAAATACTCCTTCAAAACACAGCGCCGCTTATAAATAAAAATAAGGATGCTCATTTAGAAGGTTTGTAACATCCTTACAAGCCTCGTAAGGAACACTTCAGACAGATTATCCTGAAAATAAATACATTAGAGAAAGAGCAAAAATACGGGGGAAGTCACTAACTGGGTATGACCAAGAGCCATCACGGAAAGGTCGCATTTTAATAATTAAGTGTTTCTTTTTTTCGCACTGTAGTTTATTTGATTTACGATGAACATTTATAATGCACACACCGGCACATTTAACTATAAAAACAAAGTTAGGTTATAAAATTATAACATTTATAGGTATATAAATGAATAAAAATTCGACATAGAGTAGCTATGAAAGTACCTCATATTAACATCAACTTAGTACAGCTTAAATCAGCCTTGAAAAAAAAATTTGGATTTATTTTTTATTATACCAAGTGACGGGAGGAACAAGACGTGGCCGTCGGCCTGGTGGTTGGCGATAAGTCTGTCCATAGGAGTTCCAGTGCCACTAAAAGCTTTAAATTGCAAAGATTTCAGGGACATTGCCACTGAGCCCATCACCCTGAAACATAAATTAAAAACCCCATGTGTCTGTAATTTCATTAGCACCCTTGAAAACCGGAACGCAGTAATACTCACATTACTGCTTGGCGGCACAAATAGGTAAGGAGGTATTCCTTCGCTCGACCACGCTTTTTACATTTTTTGACGAAGCTGACACAACTGAAAATGTATATGTTGTAATAATTACAAAAAAAAATTTAAGTAATGTTTACAAAATTTACGAAAACACAAAATCAACGTCGAGCTACTGGACAAACTTGTATTAAACTTCGTTTCAATCCATTTTAAACAAGCAAGTCACTGACCTGGCCATACATAGTTTAGTGATAACCAACCAACTACAAATCAATTAATTAATTGATTGAATCGATTTATTTAATTGAGTCATGCTAGCGATTTTCCTTACGTAACCTATGAAAGCATATTTAAAATTTCCGACATCTTAATTTTAAGTCCTCCTTCAAATCATTACACTTAAATACTCGTTCGATTGCGATTTAAATTTTCGATTTACTAATCGATTACAAAACTTTAATTGAATGAACCAAATGCTTTAATTCGTACAGCACTATGCAACCATACACAAGTCATAGGTTGAAAAATAACCTCACCTTTTACCATTTTCCAAATACGATTTTAAGATGCTATTCAAATGAATAT